ACTCAGTGGTCAGGCTCAGGAGGCATCGTCAGTGGCCGAGCCATCCTCCGCCACAACTTATTAGGCACATTTCTAGACAGTGACGTAAGGGTGAGGATTCTATAGTTTGAACGCTGTATTCAACACTCACTCACTCCTCTTATCAAGGACAGTATGTCAACCTGTTCTAGCTTGATCTGAATATTTAAAAGTGGCTACTTTATTGCCTTTTTTGAGCTTTTCTCTTTGGCCACCTAGGGATGGAAAGGAAGTATTCTCCTGGGCCTGTCTCCCTTCCCTCTGAAACCCTAGCTCATTGCCACAATCTCCCTGACATTTCCTTCACGAAGTGCTATTCCAAACTGATGCTCACAGGGTCCTTCTCAATAACAGGGAGACAGCACTCTGCATGGCTGATAAATTATAAGCAGGCACCACCTGCTCGTTTGATGGATTGTTAGAGCGAGTGTATGAGTCATGTGTGTTATTTTTGGTCAGAAGAATTGTGTGAACTTTCCTCCTCTATTCCAAGCTCTTTGAAATGTGCCGCTCCCTCCCTTTCTCCCCCATATAAGGTGTATCTCAAGGAATTGGGTACCCTAGCTGAATCGTCAATTTCTGGTTTTCAGTTACTGTTTCAGAGTTGAGAAGGTGGAAGGCTTGAATAGAGAAAGATCGTGTATTGACAACCCTACCTGATAAGTATAAAAGAAAATTATAATCGTTAGCTTTAAGGCTAACGACTTTAAGGCAAGGGTGCTCCTCCCTCCCACTGCTACCCCTGAGGTCAAGTTCAAGGGTAGGGGAGATTCACTGTGAACTCACAGACGCAAAAGTATTGTGATTCCAACTGACCATTGCCACTGAATTGTGGGTGGTGGCGGGATGCCTGGCTGTATTCTTTTCAGCTGGGATGCAGACTAAATAAAGTTTGAGATCTTGGCTCTGGTTCCCCGAATGCCTTCCCTGTTTCAGCCAGTGTCTTCTGGGATCTTGGGTGTTTACCCTGGGCATCTTCCTTGCTCTATGTCCAGATGTCCAGGAGTACCAGGGTTAGCACTTCTCAGAGCAAAGGCTCTAGGTCGGAGCTGTGATGCAACCTAATTGCTTTCAGTTCATGACAAGATAGACAGGGAAGTTGGGAACAAGCTTTCGGAGGCTTTTTTGAACCATCTTATGGGCAGGGTTTTTGTAAAGTTATTTTTCTAATAATTCATATTGGCTACATTGTACAAAAGCATGGATCAGGGACAGACAGACTGAAGAATGCTGCTCTTTTGCTGCATGAGGTTGAGTTGCCCTGGGTTTTCTAACTCAGTGGTAGTGGTCACTAAATGTCAGGGTCTCCTTGCCCCCCTGGGGGATCAAGCCACTATTTATTATAAAGGGGAAGTCTGGGGTAAGGCAGGCTTTGTGCTTTGGTTTTCTTCTCAGTTTTGATTGCTGCTCAGGGAAAGGTGCAGCTGGCAGTGGTTCCTCCCTGGAGACCATCCTCCCTGCCTGGTGCCTCCTGACCTTTCACTGGGAGGATGCTGCTGGCTGGCTGAGAGGATCCATGAGCTAACGTCTGGGAACGTTCTGGAGTTCAGTGGAAGCAAGGCAAAGGGAAGGAGCCAGGAAATGTCAATCAAGAGCATGTCTTACTTTGACCAGGATCCCTGTCTTCGACCAGGGAACCCAGCCTGTCTTGTGTCTTTGAACTGTTTTCCCCCAAAGAACTTTGAGATGTGAGGTGAGGAATGCTCTTTCCCTGCTTGGATCCAGCCCTCGGGATGACCACAAGGGCCATAATTTCCTTTTCGGTGGCATCCTCTGCAAACCCTGTTTCCTGTTCTTGCTTTATTTGTCCGGAGAAGCTTCCTACCTGACCTAGTGAGCCACTTTCATTCTGTGCCCTGTAGTGTAACGTGAGTTCACAAGGGCACAGAGTTTTGTCTTTTTTGCTTGTTGCTGGGTTCCCAGGCCTAAGACGGTGCGTAGCACAAAGCAGATGCCCAGTGAACATTTGTTTAAGTAAATGGATGAACAATGAACGGAGCAGGTACAGAATCCTAACGAGCCAGCTGTGGCCAAAGAGGGATCTTCTGAGTCCCTACATCTCTGTTCTGGGTGCCTGAGTTAGAGCTGTGGGGAGGGGCTTTCAGCAGCGCCTGCTGGGTGCCCAGCCTGGGGTTCAGCATTCTGTACGTACAGCATACATGTCAGGTCATCACATGGAAGGTGCACGTTAGTTTTCTTTTGCAGATGGAGAAAATCCCCCATGCAGCTGATGACAAAACTGGGCGGGAACTTTGATTTCCTCCTCAGAGAACTTTCCACAGTCAGTTGGGAGCAATGGTTTCTTGTTTCTTTGTCTACAAAAGGGAGTCTAACCTTTCTTAACCCACCATCAACGTTGTATCTCATGAGAGCAGAAGTCTGGGAAATATTGTAAGCTATGAGCCATGCAAATATGGGATTGAAAATTTAAGTTGCTCTATGGAATGGATATTGTATTAGGGAAAGGAGCCCATGGAACACCATGGAGCTGAGGATTTGCCCCAGGTAAGGTGTCAGGGCACTGGTTTCAGCAGCTTTTCCTCCTCCTCTCAGTGCTGAGGCCAGAACCTTCAGCTCAGCATCTCATCTCCCCTTTTAGCTGTGCTATGGAGCAATTTTGGGAGAAGGGAGGAGAGAGAACCAAGTTCCTCGTCCTTCATGGGACTTAGGCTTTAGCAGAGAGAGGGAGTCAGAAAATAAACAGTGAGCAATAAACCATGAAGTAAATTATATGGTATGTTAGGAGATGCCATGCGCCTCAGACAAAAGGCACAGGAGCAAAGGGGGGGGTGGTCATGTTAAATCGAATGGTCCAGGGGGGTCCTGTGGGGACCAGTGACCTCTGTACAAAAGCCTGAAGGAGTTGACAGAAGGTGCGGGCACCAAGATGGAATCAAGCCTGCCATTTTCAGGAATAAATAAGTGAGCGTGGTGGTCCGGTACCTTGGAGGAAGAGAGAGAAGGTCTTCCCAACGAATGAGATGTGGCCCAGTGGAGGGAGAATCAAGAATGGATGAAAATGTCATCTTTATGTTCTTTCCTTTGCTACCTTTTCCTACCCAACGTAATTATTCCCTGAAGTGTAACACTGAAGGCCTTTGAGACGTGGCCACTAGAGGTGTATGCCATATTTATGCCTGTAAATTTGGTTTTCCTCAACTTCAGGGTGAAGGAATCTGGGGTGATTGCTGTGAGGCACCTGCTTTCATCCTTGAGCCTCACCCTCAGGCTTCTAGACACACACTCATACACAAGCCCTGTGTGTCTGGCTACCTTGCTCAGTGGTTGTCTTTGAGAAAGGCAGGTGACATCATGAGCAGTGGGCTGAGGGTTAGAACAAGTTGAGGGTTGCAAAATAAGGGTAGTTTTCTACAGAATAGGGAATGAGAGCGAGCTGAAGGCTGAGTGGAGGGAAGAGGGTGTCAGGAGTTCAGGGGAACCCCAGGAGGAGATGAGTGTACATGAGAAGGTGCTGGCAGTACTGCTCTGGGGAAAGGAATGGATCTGGCTGGGTAGGTGAGCTCACCCACCCTCGACAGGGTCAGGACCCCAGGTCTGAACAGGAGAAAGAGAAAGCTTGGAGGAAAAGCTTGCAGTGGTGAGGTGGTGGGAAGCAATAACCCGGGCCCTTTGGCACTACCTGGGCCACCAAAAGGAAACAATGAGATGGGAGACAGCCCAGGATCCCGATGTTGGAGATGGCTGACTTTTAGAATGGCGACCGAAATTCTGGGCAGTTAGCCCAGGAAGATGGCATAATGGGTAGCATGCTAGCTGCAAAATCATGAAGAGCTGAGCCTGATCACCGGCACACAAGTGAAAGGTAGGCACAGCAGTGTACAACTGGAAGCCCATTGTTGGGGAGGTAGAGACAGGGGGCTCCTTGGGGCCCACTGGCCAGAGAGCCAAGAGCCATGGCTCTCAATCTTCCTAATGCTGTGGCCTTTTAATACAACTCCCCATGTCGTGCTGACCCCAGCCATAAAATTATTTCGTTGCTATTTCATGACTGTAATCTTGCTGCTGTTATGAATTGCAATGTAAATATATGATATGCAAGCTTTCTGATATGCAAACCCCCAAAGGGTTCATGACCCACGGTTGAGAACCACTGATCCAATGGACCTGATAAGCTTCAGGTTGAGTAAGAGAAACTCTCAAACAAACAAACAAACAAAAGACCAAGGTAGACAGCAATTGAGGAAGACATTCGATATCACCCTCTGTCTTCCGCATGTGCAAACACACACACATACACATATGTACACACAGATATACACAGAAACTTTGGGCACGGAAATAGCAAAGACGAGCTCATTTAACAAGGCACATTTGAAGGCGCAGAAGAAATGACCTATATGAGAAAAGGAAGCCTTTCTTACCCTGCTGGCCCTGATTGCAGAACTGAACACTGTTCAGTTTGAAAGTGGACATTTTGTTACCCGTGTGTATGTATGTGGCGTATATATGCACAAGTGTGTGCTTGTGAGGGCACAGAAGCCGGAGGAGGACATCAGGTGGTCATAACCTTGTTCCCTCGAGTCAGGGTCTCACTGAGCTTGCTGGGCTACCAGCCAGCAGGCCCTGGAGACCTTGCTGTCTCTTTCCCCACAGCACTAGGATCATGCCTGTGCACACAGCCGTGCCTAGCTTTTTATGTGTGTGTTGGGGATTTGAACTCAGGTCCTCATGCTTGCTCAGCAACCTCCCAGGATAGACAAGGTCTTGGGAACATTTTGAAATAGTCAAATATGACTGATCCTTCTATAATCTGTCTGGTTTTGTAACCTCCCTGAGTAAGGAAATGCCCCTTCATACCCCTCTCCTCCAGCTGCCTCTGGGTGGCTTGCAAGCTCGCTGCTTTCACACGAGCGCCCTGGGGGACCCAGTGGAGCGGGATGCCGGCATCCGTTAAGGCAGGAGAGCCCGAATTTGTTCATACCTCCATACTGATTGCTGTTGTTCTGTGTTGATATTTGCAGGCTAATCTGGCACAGCTGCTGAGAGAATCTCAGGACAGGAATAAACATCTGGGAGAAGAAATTAAAGAACTCCGGCAGAGGCTGGGCGAGGTCCAGGGTGACAATAAGGTACTGTGAATGCTGACAGGGCAGCGCTCACCGCAGGTGTCTGCACTGGAGGTGTCTGCGTGTGCAGCACGTCAGGAAATGGGCTGCAGCGCTGGTGGAGGAGTTTGTCTTAGATTTTATATGTACGATAGATAATGAAAACCCACAGTTTAGCATTTGTCTCCATCACGGCCCCTTTGTGCGTGCACGTGCATGCGTATATGCCTGTTTCCGGGCTGCTCTAAAATACTGTTCCAACCCGTTCTAGAACTTTTGTTACATTCAGTGTGGCAGTAGACAACATGTGGTTGAAGGCGAAATAAAACCAAATGTGATACTTCCTCCCTTCTACACAAATAATGGATTCGTGGCTCAGATGATTTCAGTTTTAAGTAGTCATTCCACTAATGATGTTCACATCACCAGTTTACTTTATTGCTATATTTGGCAGTTTGTATGGAACATTGCTCAAAATCCACTGCTCGGCATTAATCAAACCCCCCTGTTGGCAACGTTAATTATAAAATATGAACTCATAAACTCCAAACTAAATGTGTGCACTTGCTCTCTCCCAGCTGAAGCTATGAACAAAAGTACAATGGAAAAACAGAGAAAAACTATTGAAGTTAGATTCTGTCCCCCCCCCCCCCAAGAATTTTCTGTTTTGCCCGGCTCGGGTATATTAATTTTCAGCCCTTTGCCAGAGACAGCATTTGCAACAGAAAGGACATTGGATTTCGACTCAGGAAAGCTATATTGTGTCTCTGTGTGTTCAGGGGTGCTTTCTTGGGGAGATGCTTTCTAGATGTTAGCAAATTCCTTGACAAATGAAGGTGGCTTTCACTCTTGTGGGGAGTTGTTGTCCGTTAGTGGGAGGTGCCATTTTGAAAGACGTTTGCTTAAAAATATGAAACCAACCAAACAAAGCATGCTTAGTACTCTCTGGGAGTACTATGAGGGAACACTCCACAGTCAGAGATCAGAGAGGCCAGTGCTGACTGCCAGACTGGAAACCTGGATGATGTGGGCATGGTGTCATCCCTGTGCACCACTTCTGTTTGGATAATAGAAACAGAGGCCCAGGTTAGTCATCTTGACACAAGTGCTATGGTGGGAAAGGTACAGGGGCAGAAACAGGAGGTGGAAGCAGGAATAGAGGATACTGTACTAAGTTTTCTCCTTTGATTCAGTCCCGAACTCCAGCCAGTAGGCTCCCATAGGCTATGTTTAGGGTGGGTCTTCCCACTTCACTTAACCTAACCTACGAAATCCCTCAAAGCTGTGCTCAGTCGTTTGTTTCTATGATGACTTCAGTCATGTCAAGTGACAATCAGGACTACCCATCACAGTCCCCAGACTCAGCTCTGAAAGGAGCTAGGACCTCTAAGAAGTGAAATCTACACAGCCAAACATCAGGTGGAGCTCAGGGAGCTCTATGGAAGAGGAAGAGGAAGGACTGTAGGAGCCAGAGGGGTCAAAGATACCACAAGAAAATGGCCCACAGAATCAACTAACTAGGGTCAATCAGGGCCCATAGAAACTGAATAAAAAATCATCCTGTATGGGTCTGACCTAGGTCCTCTGCTTATACCTTATGATTGTGTAGCTTGGTGTTCTTGTGGGACCCCCAGCAGTGGGTGGAGGGCTATCTATGACTCTTTTGCTTACTTTTAGGATCCTTTTCCTTCTATTGCGTTGCTTCATCTAGCCTAGATATGAGTTTGTGCCTAGTATTATTGTAACTTGTTATGTTGTGTTCTGTTGCTATCTCTAGGAGGCCTAACGTTTTCTGAAGGGAATGGAGGAGGAGTGAATCTGAGAGAGAGGAGAGGTGGTCGTGCAGGGCCCTGGGAGGAGAGGAAGGAGGGGAAACTGCAGTAGAGATGTAATATATGAGAGAATTAAAAAAAAAAAAAAAAGAAAAGAGAGTGGGGGCTAGCATGTTGGGTCACCAGTGCCCTCACCAAGGGACTACTGACTACCTGTTTACTGGAGAAAAATCAGGCTTCTGGTGTTCACAAGAGTCAGAATCATAGGAGCAACTGACCCTTCTCTGTTATCTCACTTCTCTTCCCACCTGACATCTTCTGCATCTGCTGTATTGCACTGCATCCATGAAGCCCTCAGTAGAAATCCTCTAAAGAAGTGAGCGAGCCAAGAAAACCTTTTTACTTTGTAAAGTACCTGGCTACAGGTATTTTGTTATTGTAAGAGAAGATGAGGTTGGAGAAATGGCTCAGCACTTAAGGGTACTTCAGAACTAGAGTTTAGATTCTAGCTTTTGCTTAACCAGCCAGGTATCCTGCATGTGTCTGTCACTCCAGCTCTGAGTCAGGACAGAGACAGGAAGTTCACTAGGCTTGATGGCTTCCAGTCTAGTGAAGAAAACTAGAGCCTCAGGTTTGTGGGGAGATCCTTATCAAAGGAACAAGTGGAGCATGGCAGAAGGGAATACATGACGCCCTTCTCTCTTCTCTGAGAGTGCACGTAGATATTATACTTTAGTTCACAGTTCCAGGGCGTATAGTGCACATATTCACATAAATAAAAGAATTAAATAGATAAGTAAAAATATTTTTAAATGGGCCAAATAATCATTTACTTTTGAGAAAGGGTTTCACTATGTAGTTCTGGCTGGCCTGGAATTTATATGTAGATTATACCAACCTTGACCTCACAGAGATGTGCCTGCTGCTGCTGGGATTAAAAGCATCCACTACCATCCTTTCCCATCCTACCTACTGTAAAATAGATAAGTAAATCTCTGTATTTAACATACATTTGAAAAATTAGGCTCTGCTATTTCTGGTTGTGAAGTAGGGATGAGAAAGAATGCCCGTAAGGTTTTCATTAGCACCCCAGAAGCTAAGCAGGCTCCCATGTGGCAGATGGATCACATAGGTCAGAGATCAAAGGTGAGATCTGGCCGTTCCTTCCTCCAGCAGTAACAACAGAGCCTGGTCTGTCCAATAAAATGTGCAGTTGTTCTCTTTAAGCTCATAAAAACACAAAGTGCATTTTGGAGATACCATAAACCCAGTGAAACAGTTTGAAAGTGTGATTATTTTTTATTCATGCTCCTTTTTTTTAATTAGTATATTGTTTCCCCATTTCTTTTGAGCTACTCCTGATTTTAACTTTTCTGACTACCTTTCTGCTTCATCAGTTGGTTACCTCTTGATCTTTGCCTTTCCTCTGTTGCGTGTGTGCTTGTAGTTTTTGTGGTTTTGATGGTTGTTGTTTATTCTGGTTGTTTTGATTCATTATGCCATGTGTGGCTCCCACCCCTCTTTCATCTTCCAGATGCAGGCTGTGTCCTTGTCATGGTGTGCCAGGTGTCTGTGGTCTGTCACCTGCTGGTTTGCCCAGTTGCAATCTGGTCTTCCTCATGCTGGTTTCAGCCTGTCTGCTAGGCTGTCTTGTGCCATGGGATCTTTGCACCTATTATACACTCTGGGGCCTTCTCCTTCACTCCTCTTTCCGCCCATTCCCATTTCAGACAGGTCATGGATTAAACGTAGTCTTTGCCAGCTCCCAGGTGTCATTGCTGTATGTTTGATCTGAATTTGGCACTGCTCCCCACCCTGACACTTGTGTGGTCTTGTAGCCTCATGAGGGAACACTTAGAAGGTGATTGCTTGGCCCATGCTTCATCCTAAGATCCTTAGTTCCCTATGCAGAGCCCCCCATAGTAAATCTCCCACAAAGATGTGGAATGCATTGACTGAGTGAGCAAGCAATGCCTTGAAGGGAGAAAGAAAACCAAAGAAACTGCAAAGGGGCTGGTATGGGGACTAATGAGTCTAGCACTTAGGAGTCAGAGGCAGGAGGGCTTTGGGATCCTAGCCAAGATGAGGGTGAGACAAAGGAGCTGAAGGACGAGAGGAAGAAGAGAGTGGAACACAGAACTTCCATTCCACATCACCACACTGTGAGGTGTGAGGAACTCAGAAACTGGAATAAACGTTCTTGAAAAACAAAATGTCCCAACAAGGGACGAACAGCAACTCCAGCTGGGAGCCCTTGGCAAGGCTTGCTAAAGGCGAGGGCACAGACAAACTCTGGCGGACAGAGAATACCCACGTCAACCCTGCTTATGGCCAGTCCCACTCAGCATACTTAACGGTTGGAAATTTGCTGCTCGGGGCCCAAGCAGGGGCCAAGGGCAGTGTTTTGTACCTGTGAGAGGTTTTATCGCCAAGTCGCCATGTTAACAGTGACTGTTCACCAGGTCACAGGAAAGCAGACTGTGGGTATTAAGCGCATGCGGACATTGAGGTGACAGGAAATGACTGCGTTGGATATTTTCAGAGAGACCGATTTTTTCTGTTTGTTTAGCTAGAGACTTGGCACTGTATACTCCATAAAGCACTTCCAAATTGTTCCCAAAGGGTTTGCAACTACAGCAGCTCTGACAGCTTACTATTTGCACAAGCTGGGCAGCAGGTGCCTAGTGATATGTGTGTGTGTGGGGGGGTGCTGGGGACCTGTCATCACCTGTCATCCCTCTGATGGGCACTCATCAATCGGGGAGAAGAACAAGAATGCACCTAGAATGCTACCCAGACCAGATAAGAGGTGTGACAATTGAAACCCAAAGAATTTTCACCTTCCTAAAAATGTCAGGGTCTGTGTGGTTGTGTGTGGATATGTGCATGTATGTGTGCATGCTTGCTGGTACCTGTATGTGCTTATACATGTTTGTGCATGCATGTGGAGGCTAGGAATTAATGTCAGGTGTTTTCCCAATTACATTTGTTTGTTTGTTTGTTTAATTTTGAGACAAGGCCTCTTACAGAATTTGGAACTTGCTAACTGGCTAGCTAGCAAGCCCCAGGGACCCCCTGTCTCTACCTTCTCAGTGTTGGGATTAAAATTTCAGTGTTTAAAGGTGAGTGAGGCCTCTGGGAAAGAAAGGCTCCAGGCACCACTTATCACCTTGGGAAAAAATCCTTATGGGTTATGACCTTGCAGTCCTCTGTTAGAGAAAAGAACGAGTTATGTGGGAAGAACCATCCATA